CAGCCCCCTTTTCCTTCTTCCTCTCCCCCTCTTTCCCCTTCTCCTACTCCAACAAGGAAGGAGGGAGTCATACTCCCGGTGGGAGTAGGACTCCCCTTGGCGCGCCCCCTCCTAGGCCGGCCACCCCCTTCCCCCTTACTCCTTTATATCGGGGGCAGGGGGGCACCTCTAGGCAGAACAACAATTGATCCCTTGGATCTCTTAGCCGTGTGCGGTGCCCCCCTCCACGATAATCCACCTCGATAATATCATAGCGGTGCTTAGGCGAAGCCCTGCATCGGTAGAATATCAAGATCGTCACCACGCCGTCGTGCTGACGGAACTCTCCCTCGACACTCGGCTGGATCGGAGTTCGAGGGACGTCATCGAGCTGAACGTGTGCTAGAACTCGGAGGTGCCGTAGTTTCGGTGCTTGATCGGTCGGGCCGTGAAGACGTACAACTACATCAACCGCGTTGCTCTAACGCTTCCGCTTTCGGTCTACGAGAGTACGTGGACAACACTCTCCCCTCTCGTTGCTATGCATCACCATGATCCTTTTGCGTGTGCGTAGGAATTTTTTTGAAATTACTACGTTCCCCAACAGGGTATGCAATTGAAAGAATGGATGCGAATGTGACAACCATATCTCGTTGGTATCATTGGCTTAATTAGCAGCAAAATACATTATAACGAATGCATTTTCATCCACTGCATCTAAACAATTCTGCAAATAGGGCATTCGATGTGAGTATGTGGGTTATGAGTTTGTAACCATACCCAAAAACGAGAGCTCATGTAAAAGACAAGTTTATTGCAGAAAGCTAGCTACAATCGTAATCTCTCATGTCGGTTTGTGCTTCAGGTGTGCTATCAAAGCATTGAGATATCAATCTATATGGTTTTTTTTATGTTTGTTATCACTTAGTAACACAATAATCGGTTGTAATAGTTTAGTCACCCTTTAGTGAAACCAAAATTCGAGTGTTAAACACGATTGATGGAAGCTTTAGTATGCCAGACTAGGATGGCATATCACCATTTTTGGCGACCTATGTTTCCCTTTTTATGTGTTTTCAATTTTATAATATAGCAAAATGTATAACCTCTGAAGGATTGGAATTGCATGGTCCCCAAGTGCAATAACGATTAATCCCCAATTTTATAATATAGAAATATGTATAACCTATGATGGATTAGAACTACATGATCCCCAAGTGCAATATCGATTAATACCCAATTTTATAATATAGCAAAATGTACAACCTTTGAAGGATTACAACTTATCGACTAATCCACCTTGGACTTGTTTTGAGATAATTGTCCAGTTGTTGCCATAGTTACTACTTTCTCCGCTCCATAATATAACATCTCACATATTTGATAATAATATCTTATACTATGGGACGAGGGAGTACATATTATGGATTTTTTGTTGAACACCTTGTGAACTAGTCACCCAACGTATTCTTTGTGGGAAATAGTGAGATCTCGTTGCTAGCAAGTAGGTTGTACATTTAGCAAATACTAGTTGGAAGTATAGTATGGTGGTTGGTGCAACCGGCATGCAGTGCACTTAATACTTTTCATGTTATGTATCATATACCCTTCACAAATATATTTATCAGCACTCGCTCCGAGGATATATGGTATGGATGTCCTCGATATATTTGTCTTTCCCTCAAATACACTCTCAAGAAAGAAAGGCACTAAGCTCCACTTTCACGCACGTGCATGTGTTCGACAATATGTTTTCCCATGCACAATGACACATCGATCATCTACTTGTGGGCACGGGAGACATTAGGAAGCTGGAAGTAGCACGCTGAATGGCGACAGATACAAAGTCCACTGGATATGGACACGATATTTTCAACAGTTGATGCCGCTGAGGTTCAACTAGTTAAGGAGTTAATTAAGCCATGAAAAAGTTGTAGATGGGAACCAGATTTCACCAAGGAAGGATTGTTCCCTGGGTCCATTGTGTGGGCCGAGGATTGATTATGCAATCAGCAGATCAAAGACCAGCCATGCGACGCGTGCATCGATCGGGGTGTAAGAAAAATACGATCGGATCGTCAGCGCATACTCTTTTGCACTCACATGCGCAGTCATGTGTTTCATCAAAAGTGAAAGAAACGGAGAGATTACAGTTCATGAGACGGAAAGATACTCCATCCGTTTCTTTCTACTCCGCATATAACTAAGATTTCTCTCAAGTCAAACTTTGTAAAATTCGACCAAATTAAGATTTCTCTCCATCCACAATATTAAATCGACATAATCATGAAACTGGTTTTCATATAGTATATCTTTAATGTTGTCGATGTTCATATTTTTCAATGCAATTTTCGTATGGAAGACCAACAAAGTGTACCCTAAGAAAAACCCAAAGAAAGTGAGCGGAAGGGAGGAGCCATGGACGAATGAGAACGCACCGCCCCCAAAAAGGAAAACTGACGAATCCGGCCCAAGAGGCCGCTGGAGTGGACAATCCCTAAAGCCCACACCGGCCGAAACCCTTGCCTCCTCCCCGACTCTACTCTATATAACCCAAACCCTAGCGCCACTAACTCCCTCCCCGCAGCAGGCATCTCCCCTTCCCTCCCTTCGCCGCCGCCGCCGCCGCCACCGCAACCACGGCGGTCTGCACGAACAAAGTCGGTAACGACCCCCTTCCCTGCTCTCACCCCCTTCTCGCCTCTGGAACTCGTAGCGGGGCGAAGCAGCCAGTCTGCCTTCATCGCCTAGTTCCAGTGGCCGTAGGTGTATGATAGGTTCTTGGGA